TGCCTTTGCTAGCTACTCTTGTATATCACAGCTGTTTTGCTACAGACTGTTGGCAGCTGCCCCTTCAGACAGACTGACAGGGCATGCCAAATCCCATTGTGCCCATTTCCAGCCATATGTTGATGAAACTTTGATAATGTCGATCATAATGAGGAGATTAAATGAGAAGTGCTTCCCTAATATTGGCGACAACAGTTATGAATTGGAATTATATGTTTTTAGTGGTAAGTTTCAATCTTGTTTTGTTACACAGAAATGACTTCTTGCTAAGAGGAAAACCAAGTGTGTTTGGAGAGGTAGGGGGTAAAATTATCATAGGAAAATATTATAGTAGAGATTACATATTGAAAAGCCACAAATGACAAATAAACATTTCTGGTTCTTTTTACTTATGCAATATTTGTTTGGATTAAAGCCACTCTAAAAGTTTGAAATATATTATTGAGTATAGGGAAAATTTTATTTCTATTTTTGAGAGTATACCCAAGCCTGGGTCATAAATCACTTCTAAGTAACACAACAGAACTGTGCAGAGTGGCTCAAAGTACCTCATTGATCTTAGTGCATGCTCTGTTTCTTCTCTTAACATCCTTTGTTAAAAGTGACAAAAAATGCATATAACCCAGCATTCTTTATCTGGAAGCTCACAAGCAGGACAGGATGGCGATGCTATTTTCTAGATTTAGATATTTAAAAGTCCTTTGAATATTGAGATTTCATTTGGCTAGCATGCCTTGCAGTCACTATTATTGGGCTTGCTCTCCATCAAGATATCTAATTTTGTTGAAAGCCATCTAAACTTGGGGCCAGAAGTACAGTGTGCCTGTGCCATACGCAGGCTCAAGGTCACACAGATGGTGAGACCCAGACCTCTTAATGGCGTGCAGGAGTGCACCGCCATTGAATTCAATGGGACTTGAGGTCCCGTGGTTTTTCCCTTACATGGGGGGGGGGGTCCAGAACTGATCCCCTACATAAAACAAGGGTCCACTGTAACAGTTTTCCCAAATATTTGTGCACTTTCGTCCAAGTAGTGTGAATGATTATATATCAACATATCAAATACTAATTACATTCAGCTTTTACTTTAAATTTTTTTGAAAAGTGCGGCTATAGAGAGTTAGGAGAATGTAAATGCCCTCAATATTGTTGTAGCTGATTGAATAATCATGGTGTGCCTGCCTACTAGAAATTGCCAAGGAAGTGCCACATTGCTATCCTCCCTTCTGACTGCAGCAAAGGTGAGGGTGGGTCAGTCAGGAGCACTGACCCTACATAGGACTCAAGGCCCACCTCCTTTGTACTTGCAGCCTCACCTGCTGGCTTGTGAAGACCATAGATGCAATTACTTATGGGGCAGAGATGGAGCTGAGGAGTAAGCCTAGGCTATTTGAGTGGGCCCAGCAGAAAGCTAAACAAGAGGAGCAAAGAATGCAGGGGGAAATAAGAAGAGCAGAAAGGGATATAGGGCAGGCTTGAGAAGGGCAGGGTGATAGGAGGAGACTGGACAGAGAAATGGATGGACCTGTGGGGTAGAAGTAGAGGAGGCTACCCATACAGCGTGGAAGGAGCATGATTTTGTTCTAGCTAAAAGAACAGGGTAAAACCACTGATGACAGATCTCATCTCCTGGGCAGAGCTCTACATCTCTGACCTCACTGCAATGTCCAGCAACCAATCAGCCCTTGAGAAACCTATAGTACCTATAGCAACATCAGTATTTAGAACAGAAGTGCTTTGAGAAAGATCAATAAAATAATATTAATTATTCTTTTTATTCCACTGTCTTCACAGATGTTTGGTGGGAATACAGAAAAGGCCTTCTTTTGCCTGCTCCCACACTTTGGAACTCCCTCCTTAGGGAAGAAGCCTTCCTGGCTTTCTTTTTGGTAGCAGGTTAAGTCCTTTCTAATCCAGCAGGTTTTGGGGAATTAGCTGATGATATGAAAGGGGTTTTCATGACACTGAACTGTTTTTAATCTTTGTTTTAAAATAATATTTTTAATGGTTTTAATTCTGCTGATAGTTTAATATTGTTTTAAACTCAGATGTATGTTTGTATGTCTTAACTATGGGGCGTTGTAGACCAGCCTAAAGGGCTGGCCTGGGGGTGGAGTTGGGGCGGGGCAACCACATGCCAGTTGCCCCAACCCCATCCCGATGCTGCGCGCCTGTACGCACGGCATGTGGCATCAGGTCTCCCTGCTGGCGCAGGGTATAGACATGCTGTGCCAAAAGGGTGCAGAAGAGCTGCGACGCTAGTTCTTAGGGCAGTCTATTGCCGCCTTAAAAAGGAGCAGCATTTTGCCACTCTTTTGGAGGCAGCAAAAGGGAGGATTGGGGCCACGGCGTGGGGTTGCTGCAGCCCCAATCCGCCGCTAGCAGGCGCGGCCCAGAGTCGCACAAAACGGGCTGTCTGTAGAGACCCTATATGTGCTTATATTGTAGTTTCTTGTCTTTTGTAAGCCATTTTGAGTCCTGTGAGAAAGGTGAGACTATAAATAGAGACTGATGTATTTATGGGCTACTTTCATTGACAAAGCAACCAACTAGTATAATTTGAGAAGGAATTCCAGGCTTGGCATTTCCTATCCTAACAGGAATTGTCCTCTGTCTATCTGAATGGGCTTTTTCTTGCCTAGTACATGGTCTATCAATAAACCAATTAATTCATTGCCATTAAAATCTTGACTCTGGTTTTCAACATAGTTTTCAACATTTGTTGTGAGTTATTCCTGACTCCCTGAGTTGCAAAGGTGTGAATGCAGACTCAGATTGAGCCAGGAAAATAACATAGTCCTTTGTGTATTTTAATAGAAAAACATTATGCAATAAAAAAACCTCAAGAAACAAATAGCTTACAGAAATAGCAGGGATTTACAGCTATCCCTGTTGAACTGCCCCATTTTTTCTGAATGGGACTGAACACAAATAAAACAGTCTCCGTCTCCTGTATTACAGACTATGAGGTCAGGGTTATTACAGGATGTTGCAGAGGAAATAAATCCCCTGGCTGCTTCAGCATTTCCTAGTAATGTGCTGAAGGCAGGATGGGTGCATTTTGTAAATAACAGCATGTAGGAATTTTGTTTGATGTTTACTTCTGTAACCTTTCCTAGGCTTTTTGTGGGAAAGTTGTGAAATTTTGCTGTCATCTTGATCACTTCTAATTATTTCTGCTGCTTTTAGCTACTCCAATGTATATAAAAGTCTATAGTGGTGTGAAAGAGAAATACCAGACTGTTCCATCCAACCCATATCCTTGTGTTGGATACCAGGCATTAACGGAGCCATCTTGTGAAATAATTGGGATCATCGTTTAGAGTCAATCTTGACATTATGAGAAGGTTACCTTTGTTTAGGTTGTTGCACTAAATCAAGAAGCACTTAGTTTTTCTTCCCATTTTCATGGATTGGCTTTCTATCAAAAAAACTACATAGTGGTGCCAGTTTAACAGACTTTAGTTAATTTCACTGGTAGTTTAGCATGGAATTATGATATTTTGTTCTGTTGCTTTTTACAGCAAATCCAAATGATGTAATTTCCAAATTTTTGACTGTTGTGTTCCAAATGAAAACTAGAGCGGGGAGAGAAGAAAAGAATAAAGATTAGTAATTAAAAATTAATCCCATTCTCCTCTGGGAATGGGAACTGTGATTAAGGTCAGTTTATAAGCTATTGCTCTTGCTGCTGCTTCATGAAACATGAGACAGTAAAAAGGGCAGAAGCTTCAAGGGGAAAGGTTGGAAAAGGTCTTTGCTGAATGTGACTGAATGAGTAGATATTAGATAGCTCTTGGTTGTGAGGCTAATATAACACTGTATGATGAGATAAATCTTAATGTCACTCCTATTTGGAGTAGATTAATTGAAACCGATGGGACTATAGTAGGTGTGGTTAACCATACCTGTTGAATTCAGTGGTCTGCTCCAGGGAGTTTCAAACTTTTGGTTCTCCAGATGGTAAAATGCTAATCACAATGAAAAGATCCCCCATGATATTTTGATTAGCAAACCGATTAAATACGGAATAGACAGAAACAATGTCAAATAGATCCATAATTGGTTGGAAAACAGTGATCAAACTATGCCATCAGTAACTGTGTTTCAGATTGGAAGGAGATCTCAAGTGGAATGCTGCAGGGTCCTGTACTGTAGCTAACACTTCAATATTTTTATCAGTTATTTAGATGATGGGACGGAGGGAATCCTTATCAAATTTGTGGATACAAAATTGGGGAGGGGTAGCCTAACACCTTGGAAGATAGGAACAGAATTCAAAAAGATACTGATAAACTAGAAAAATGGGCTGAAATTAATAAAATGAAAATCAACAAAGAGGGGATGCAGACTGGCACTTAAGGCTGGCCTGGGGGTGGAGTTGGGGTGGGGCAACCACACGCTGGCCACCCCAACTCCATCCCAACTCCGCCTTGATGCCACGTGCCTGTGCACACAGCGTGCATACACGCTGCGCCAAACGGGTGCAAAAGAGCCGTGGCAGTGACTCAAAGGGCGGCTTTTTGCTGCTCCCAAAAGGAGTGGCATTTGCCCTCTCTTTTGGGTGTGGCAAAAACGAGGATCGGGGTTGAAGCATGTGGTTGCCGCAGCCCCAATCTGCTGTTCCCAGGGGTGACACAGAGCTGCCCCTAAATTCTGCATTTAGGTCATAAAACCAAATGCACAGGTATAGGATGGTGTATTTGGCTCAGCAGTACTATATGTTAAAAAAAGGACCATGGGATTATTATTGATCATAAATTTAACATGAGCCAGCAGTGTGGTGCTCCAGCAAATGAAGGTAAATGCTATCTTAGCCTGCATTAATAGAACCATAGTTTGCAATCAAGGGAAGTAATTTATTTGTTGTAGTTGTGTGCCTCTAAGATGTCTCCTACCTATGGCAACCCATGGGGTTTTCTTGGCAAGATTGGTTCAGAGGAGGTTTCCTCTGAAGCTGAGAGAGTGTGACTTGCCTAAGGTCACCTAGTGACTATACATGACCAAGCTGGGATTCAAACCGTGGTCTCCAGAGTCCTAGTCCAACCCTCAAACCACTATGCCACGCTGGCTCCCACTATATTAAACTCCAGTCACACCTCATTTGCGGTACTGTGTTCAGTTCTGGGTGCATCATTTTTAAAAGGATATGTTGTGGGGAAATCAGATAAGGGCCATGAGGACAATAAGAAACATGGAGAACAATACATAAGAGAGCTTGAAAGAGTTGGGTATGTTTGACTTGGTGAAGAGAAGATGGGGTTGGTTGACATGATTGCACTCTTTAAATACCTAAAGAGCTGTCACAGAGGCAGACATATTCTTTGTTGCCTTAGAGGGCAGGGCCAGGTCTAATGGTTTGAAGTTACAAGAGAATAGTTTTTGATTGAACAGTAGAAGGAACAGCTTGACATTAAGAGCAGTTTGGCAATGGAACTAATTGCCTAGAGAGGTGGTGGGATCTCCTCTGGAGGTCTTCAAAAAGAGGCTGGACAGCTACCTGCTGGAGATGCTCTTAACTGGAGATCCTGCATTGAGCTGGTGGGGTTCTGATAGCCCAGGTCCATTATTCTATTTGGAGAAAGAAGGTGGACAGAAGAGAGTGTGTAGATGAGAGAGTGAGAGCATGGAGAGAAGCTGGGGTGTGGATATCTGTTTTGTATGGATGGGATGCTTAGGGTGATAAGGTGAGTGCTTTGAGTTGTTTGGAGTGAGAAGCTGTGGTATGTATGAATATGTATATATTTGTGCATCTCAATAGGAGGGAACTGCCTGAAGTTGTTGTAATCTCTCATCTGTCATAAACGTCATGGTAGGCTTGCTCCTAAATATGCAAAAGGGAAATTTGAATAGCTAGCTAGATGCCAAAGCACTGTTTATTCAGTGGCTACTGCCAGCATTCTTGCTGAAGCAAATAAATCACTAAGGGAACCAGATTACATTTTTCTTTGAGTTCAATTTCACTGTTGCCACACATTTTCAATGAAGGGGTTTCTGTTTCCCAAGGCAAGAGGAAATTCCAAGAGAAGCTTTTCACATGAAGAGTTATCTTGCAGATGAAAGTACCAGAGACTTACTAATAACCTTATTTGTATTCTACTCATTTGTGTATTTGGGAAGAAAGCTACCATGGTTGTGATGGATGAGAAATTATGGAAT